ATATTATACAGCTGCTTCTACTGTAAGACTAATAATAAAAACTAATCAACATTAGTTGGAGTTGAACTGTTTCCTTTAACAACTTCTGGATCAACAATTCTGAGAAAAATGAATATAATTATTATAATTTTTATTAATGCATCACTTACTTGTTGACATTCATTATTTCCTTCAGAGCCCCGCCCCCTTTTGTGAGCTTATCAGAATATATAAATTGTCTTACTTTATCAACAGTAGCTCGATTTATGGTCTAAATAATAATAATAATAATAATTATTATTATTATTATTATTATGATAACAAGAATAATGGGCCAATTTTCAAAATTTTCCCTGTACGAGATGCTGAAGTGAAGTATTGATAATTAAAAATTATTTAAAATGAATTACGAAACAGGAAGTGAAGTGCTGATGCCAATTTTTTTAAATGCCCATGGTTTTTTCTAAAAAATGGCTCTGAAATCATGCCGAATTTTTACTACATTTTCTGATACATATTGATGTACTTATGCTGTGTAGAAAGTTTGAGCTGATTCCGATTTCAATTTTTCAAGTTACAGATATTTTTAAAAACGGGCCAATTTCTGAAAAATACCCTGTACATAGCCATGGTTTTTTCCAAAAAATGGCTCCGAAATTACCCCCAATTTTTATTACATTTTCTGATACATATTGATGTCCTTATGCTGTTGAGCTGATTTTGAGATCAAATTTTCAAGTTACGGCCATTTTAAGAAAATGGCAAAATTCTGAAAAATACCCAAGGCTATATAGCCCATGGTTTTTTCCAAAAATGGCTCCAATATCACCCTCAATTTTTATTACATTTTCTGATACATATTGATGTTCTTATGCTGTGTAGCAAGTTTGAGCTGATTTCGAGATCAAATTTTCAAGTTACGGCCATTTTAAGAAAATGGCAAAATTCTGAAAAATACCCAAGGCTATAGCCCATGATTTTTTCCAAAAAATAGCTCTGATATCACCCTCAATTTTTATTACATTTTTTGATACATATTGATGTCCTTATGCTGTGTAGCAAGTTTGAGGTGACTTTGGGATCAATTTTTTAAGTTATGACATTTTAAGAGACTATAGCTATAATAATAGTCTCACCCTGCAGGTGTAGCAAAGGGGAGGGGTGAGACTACTATAACGATAACAATATATTATTCTTTTCTTCACCTTTGATTCATCGTGTGCCCGAATAATGAGTGATGTAAACAGATTAAGAACAGCATAAACAAACAAAGCTGTGAACACATAGATGAAGATTTGGCCATAAGCTATAACAGCCCTGTTATCAGAGTCATCAAACGAGCGAAACATTGGATAAATATCATCGCCATGTGTAAGGACAAACAGAGTTTGAAATGTCTGGAATATATCACTGAACTAAAAACAAATCAATCATCAAAA